ACACTGCATTAGAGGAGCTACTATGTGCAAGCTGTAGTCATATTCCTTTATTTCTTAAGTAATAAAGCTTGAAAATCAAAATTACTTCTCCAGTACTGGGAATCAAACTCATGACCTCGATCTTGCCAGGCAGGCCTGTGCCACTAAGCTAAATCCCCAGTCCCCAAAATTACTTCTCGACCCATGGACCACAGAATGGCTGTCATGTTATCAGGCATGACAATACCATTAATCTCATATATTTCCATCAGGGGACTTGGGTGGCCTGGAGCTTTGTCAGTCAGCAGTAATATTTTGAAAGAAATCTTTTTTCCTGAGCAATAAAGTATTCAACAGGGGGCTTCAAATATTCAGTAAGCCCCACACTGATGTGCTGTCCTCCAGACTTTGTTGCACTGTTTATTGAGCACAGGCGCACGGCACATAGTATCACCTTAAAGGCTTTGGACTGTGGGATGGTGAATGCTCATTGCCCTCATTTAGAGTCACCAGCTGCATTAACCCCTAACAAGAGAGTGAGCCTGTGCTTTGAAGCTTTGAAGCTAGACATTGACTTCTCTCTAGTTGTGAAAGACCTCTATAGTGTCTTCTTCCAGTAGCAGGTCTTTTATCTACAGTGGAAATCTGTGGTCCTGCATGGCCACCTTAGCTAGGTCTTCTGGGTAACTTGACGCTTCCTCTTATACTTTGATGTTATGGAGATAGCCTCTTTCCTTATACCTCATGACCCAACCTCTGCTGGCTGCAGATGTTTCTTCTGAAGCTTGCTTATCCCTCTGTGTCTTCACAGAATTAAAAAGTGAAGGCTTCACTCTGGGCTAGGCTTTGGCTTAAGGGAATGCCGTGGCTGGCTTGATCTTCTACCTAGACCACTAAAACTTTCTTTATATCAGAGCTAAGGCTGTTTTGCTGTTTTATCATTGTGTGTGCACTGGTGTGACACCTTCTATTTCCTTCAAAACTTTTCCTTTGCGTTCTTAACTTGGCTAACTGGCCCAACAGGACTTGGTTTCAGACTGTCTTTTTTGACATGCCTTCCTCTCTGAGCTCAATCCTTTCTACTTGTTTATTTAAAGTGAGAGACGTAGGTCTCTTCCCACCAGTTGAAATGTAGAGGCCATTGTTACCTTATTATTTGGCTTAGTTCCACTATTGTCTGTTGTGGAATTGGGAGGCCCAAGGAAACAGGTAGAGCAGGGAGAACACACAGCATTTATTGACTAAATCCGTCTTATCTGGGTGTGATGTGTGGTGCCCGAAACAATTACAGCAGTAACACGAAAGATCACTGGTAACAGCTCACCACAAAAAATATAACAGTGATGAAAACCTTTGAAATATTGTGAGAATTACCGAAATGTGACACAGAAACCCAAGATGAACTCATGCTGGAAAAATGGTACCAAGATTTCTTGATATGCAGTTCCACGGAACGTCAGTTTGTGGAAGCTTTCCTAGCTGCAAAGCACAGCAAAGCAAAACACAACAAACATAGAGTGTTTCTGTGACAGATGGAGAGAGAGGCTCTTCCCGCAGTCCGGGTGAGGCGTGAGGGTGGCCTGGAGCCAGCTGGGGCAGCGTAAGTGACAAAGAATCCTGTGACTCCCGGTATAACTGGAAAATGGAGGTGAAGGACCCGCTGGCAGGTGGAATGTGGGTAAGAATAAGGACAGATCATGGAGTCAGACTCACCGAACAGGATAAGACGGAGGGCGGGGGGAACAAGTGCGGTCAGACCTGGGAGGTTAGAAGTTCTCAGACTCAGAGGCCAGGGCGGGGAGACCACTGGAAGCACAGCGAGGTCTGGGCGGTGATGGGAACTCACTGTCTCATCAGGCCGGGCCAGCAAAGGAGAGACACAGGGAAGAGCCGACCTTTCCCACAGGAAGGACTGGGGTGGTGGGCGGAAAAGCAGGGAGACTGAGCCCACCCAGTGACAGGGAAGGAGAGGGGTTAACGCGCTGAGAGGAACCCTCTGGCCCCTGCCCAGCACAGTTGGGCGGGTGGAGCGCCGGAGGGGGCAGCCTGACTGGAGCAGGGCCACAGGAGGGTGGAGGCCAGGGCTTGATATCACGGCCTATTCTCCCAATAGTCACCCTCTTGATGGACAGACACAAAACAACTGACTTGAGGACTGCCTACCTCACAGGAGGCAGATTGTAGAAGGGAGTCAAAATGCTGCACTCCACAAGAACTTGTTTCCCATTTTCAAAAAAAGTTTTTGTGTATTTTTTCCCTTAATGCTTTTGCCCCAGTGGCAGGCCCTGAGTGTCAGGCCCTGAGTGGCAGGCCCCAGTGCCAGGCCCTGAGTGGCAGGCCCTGAGTGGCAGGCCCCAGTGGCAGGCCCTGAGTGGCTGATTGTTTGTAGTCCAGGTGGCTAAAACGCCAGAAGATCTCAGTCTTCTTTCTGGCCAGAAGGGGCAGGGACTATGGAGGGAAAGTCAGGGAATGGGATTTTATAGTTCTGTGTTTGAATCACATAAGTCTCAGATTAACCCCTGCTGTGAATGTGCAGGACACAGCCAAACCAGGGGGCAAACACAGAAGTGAATCGACCTTTGACTCTGAAGCAAAACCCAGCTTGTGGTCTAGAGTTAACCAGGACAACTGATGGTTGTTACCTAAAATAATCCATATAGTCTAAAGGATTAGAATAGAACCCACAGTGTATATGACAGAACAGTTGTGATGGTTGGGGCACAAACTAAAATTGCACGGACACACAAAGAACCATGACAGTGTACACCCCCAGGGGAAAATACAATGCTGAGATGCTCCAGCAAGCAGGAAAAAACCCACTTGGGATTACCCTAAAACCCTAAGAATTCTCCACGGACAAAAAATTATAATGAAGAACCAAACTGACATTTTAGAACGGTAAACTACAATATCTAAAATTAAAAATTCACTGGAGGAGTTAATAGCAAAATGAAGATGATAGAGGAATCAGTGAATGTAGGGGTCAATAAAAATGACCAAATCTGCAGAACCGAGAGAAAAAGAATTGAACAAAAATGATAGAGATTTAGGGATGTGTGGTGTGATGTAAAAAATCCAGCATATGGGTAATAACCATTCCAGATGGAATGGACATAGTGACCCGGAGACAACATTTGAAGAAATAATGGTCAGAAACTTCATGAATTTAGTGAAAACTCACACATGAGTAGATTTTTAAAAAAACCACCTAACTCCACGCAGAACAAATTCAAAGGTACAATGCCTAGACATATGATGATCAAGTTGTGTAAGACCGAAACTAAAGAACAACACATATAAAGTTACTTTAGAAAAAATAGCAAATTGAATATAGGGGACACAATCCGAATCACGGATTTCTCATCAGAAACCACAGAAGGAGGGCAGTGGCATCTCTGAAGTGCCAGAGGGGGAAAGTAAGACCTGAGGGTTCTAGACCCAGTAAAAATGTACTTTCAGGTTCAAAGTGAAATAAAAACATTGCCAGAAGAAAGAAAGCCGAGGGACTCTATTAACCGTGATGAAGGAGCCAGGCAAGGTGCTGCACACCTGTAATTGTTGCTACTTGGACAGCTGAGGCAGGAGGCTCACGAGTTCAAGGTCAGTCTGGGCAACGTAGACCCTGTGTCAACATTTTTAAAAAGTGCTGGAGATGTACTCCAGTGGTAAACTGGCCTGGGTTCGATCCCCTGTTAGAGGTTGCGGGTGGGGAAGGAGAGATGCTGAAGGAATTTCTTTAGGCTGAAAGGAAATGATTCCAGGTGGAGAGCTGGATCTTACCGAGTTCTTTACACATCGTCATTTAAAAGCAAATCTACAGCACTGTCTGGTGCAGTCATCAGAGGATGAGATATAAGAGCTCTGACACAAGGACATCTGGGGAGGGTCAGGGACTTGGACGGCTGTAAGGTGTCTGCATTTTACAGGCTCTAAATGGATGAGCAGGTTGGGACTATTGAAATCCCCTGAACAACCACCACCAACAACAAAAACACCAGGAGATACAAACAAAATGTGTGCATCCAGCTGGAGTGTTAAGTACGGCGTGTTCAAACAGCTACAAGAAGGCAGTAACGGGGACTGGAGCAATACTTTGGGATTAAAGTAAATGCTACCTTGATTGTGATTATTTCACTGGTGAATTCATACGTCTGACCTTATTATATCGTATGATTTAGGTGTGTGTAGTTTATTGCACACCAACTTTTACCTCCAGAAAAGTTGCTTGTTGTTTGGAGAGCAACAGACAGAGAGAGACAGATGGAAGGAGAGAGGGAAGTGAAGCTGCTACTGGACTTGGATTACTGGAAGATGGGGGGGGGGTAAGAAGTGGAGGGAGCCGGGCGTGGTGGTGCACGCCTGTAATCCCAGCACTCGGGAGACTGAGGCAGGAGGATCGTTGTGAGTTTGAGACCAGCCTGGGCTACAAAGTGAGTTCAAGGCCAGCCTGAACTGCATATGGAGACCTTGTCTCAAAAAAAAGAAAAAAGAAAAAAAAGAAAGAAAGAAAGAAAGAAAGAAGTGGAGGGAAGGCTGGGTGGCATGACGCATGCCTGTAACCCCAGCACACGGGAGGCTGAGGCAGGCGGGTCGCTGGAAATTCCAGGGCAGCCTGGGCTACAAAGTGAGTGCAAGGCCAGCCTGAACTGCATAGTGAGACCGTCTCAAAAAGACAAAAAAAAAAAAAGAGGAGAACAAAGGCTCAGTGGCTTTGTGGTAGAACGTGTTCTTAGCATGTGTGCAGCCCCGAGTTACATGAGAAAAATGTGTGTGCGTGTGTGTGCGTGCTCGCCTGATCAGAATGAATTAGTAGGGTTTTTTGTTTTTGTTTTTTAAGATGGAAGAAATAATGGAATGTTTGTATGCCGACAGAAAGACCTAGTGGAGAAGGTAAAACTGCTGATGCAAAAGAGTTTAAAGAGAGTTGCCCGGATGTTGTCCTTTGATAAGGAGGGAGGCGGCATCTTTGCAACACAACTGGTCTTGAGCTAGGCCGGCGTATCCATAGCAACCAAAGAGGTGCGGGTCCCAGGGCAGGATGCTGAAGGCGGGACCTGTGCTGGGAGCCGCTGATGGCTGCACGTGGTGAGGGGCCGAGGCGTGAAGGTCTGAGGAGAAGATATGAAAGAGTGACCAGGACGGCTGAGCGCAGACAGCCTGTTGTCAGCGAAGCTAAGGGCCTCTCCTGCACCCCCACCTTGTTGTTTGTTTATTTGTTTTGGTCCAAAGCTGCGGGCTTGGGGTTGAACTCAGAGCTGGGAATTGAATTTAAGGCCTTCTGCCTTGCGCTACTTCCCCAACCCTTTTTATTTTTCATTTTGAGCCAGGATCTCCGAAAGTTGTTAAATTGCTCTGGCTGGTCTCAAACGGTCCTCCTGCAGGCGTTCCGGGCAGGCTTCCGGCGCCCCCTTGAGGCCGGCGGTGAGGAACGCCGCCAGCGAGGCGCAGTCCCCCAGAGCGGGATTTTCTCCTCACCCGCGCGGGTTCGGGTGTGCAGGGCGGGTCTCGCGTTGAAGCAGGTTTCTGGTATTGCTAAGCAGGGACCAGGACGCTAAGGAGGGGTGGAGGGAGGTATGTTCAGATTACAGAATTCAAGCTGGGTAAGGAGGGGAGTGAAGAATTGAAGGACGATAAGGCATTTGTAGAATCCGTGGGTTCTAGGTCCCACATAGGCAGAACTATTGGTTTTAATACAGACATTCCCCACTTAACGACATGCCTGTTTAATGACTCTTCAGACTTACAGCTGCCGCTCAGACTGACCACCTGCTTTTGTGTACAGTTCTGTGCATCTTGTTTATAGAGCCTCAATGTCTTTTTGGGGATAGTTTGTACAGTACTGTATTTTTTACTGACTGTACTGTACAGTACGGTGCTTAGTTGTATGACCTGTTACGCAGTACAGCTGTGCATGTAACAGCCATGCAAGGAAAGGCGAAGGCGTCAAGTCGGAGTTTCCTTTGACCATGTCTTTGTCCTGAATACTGCAGTGTACACACTATACACACTTTCCTCCTTTAGCAACCAATTCATTTAACAACGTCGTCGCAGGGACAGAGCTTGGTCTTTGATGAAGACTGTCTGCATTTGAAAAGACATGCTGGAAACGTAGATGACGGCAGTGGAACGTGATCGCTGAAACTGAGGTTGGGTGTTCCGGTTTGCATCTCGAAAGGCAGGGCTTTGGGAAGGTGATTAGGTGAGGGATGCTCTAACCGCGTCAGTAGTAAGGACGCAGAGCAGAAGCTCACAGGCACTGCAGATGCAAGCGCAAACGGATACACAGTAGCTGCATTGCTGTTAGAACAAGGGCCTGGTGGGAGGAGTGGGAGCTTGTGGGGCAGCCCTGAAGGCTGTATTCTAGCTTCTGGCCCATGCTCTCTTTTTGGCACTTTTTCTTTCTGACTGTTCCTGGTTGTCAGCATCTTTTTTCCTCCACACCTATTATGGTTCGTGTCTAGATGTCTCCCCAGAGTCTCATGCGGTCATAGGTGGGGAGTTTTGAAGGTGGCTGGATAAGGGTGTGTGTGATACTGGGACTGAGCACGTCATGCTGGTATTGGGTGTAATGCTGGGACTAAAGGTGCCCTAACCTGGGTGGCAGTGGCACCACCCAAAAGGTGAGGGCCCTGGAAGAGATAAACGGGGCAGAAAGAAGGCAGGCCTGCTGCTTGCTGCTGCCTGCCTGCCCTACCATGGACTGTTTCTCCTCTGTGGGGTCCCTCTTCCATGCCACCCCGCCTTAGAACCAGGAACTATGGACTGAAACCTCTACAAACTGTGAGACAAATAACCCTTTCCTTCTTTAACTTTGGGTGTCAGATACTCTGTCTCAGCAATGGAAAGAAACCAACACAGTGCCCTTCTTACATGCTACTCTGCCTCCGAACCAGCCAACCATGGATGGAACCCTCTGACACTAGGAGCTAAAATAAGCCCTTCCTTATTTATGTTGTGTGTCAGATATTTTGTCTCAACAATGGGACGGGTGCTTGATGGTGATTACTAATTTCAAAGTCTAGAGCTATGCTTTTCAATATAACAACTGCCTGCCTTGGTGGTTATTTAAAATTTTTAAATTTTTTGTTAGTGTATGTTTGCAGTACATAATGGTTACTTCCTCTTGGGGAGCTGGTACCTGCACATAGCACGTCTTCATTCTATTTTTCATCCCCAGCCCCTCATACCTCCAACTCCTTCCATCTCTGATCCTTGCAAAAGACCTATCTTGCTATTTCTTATCTTTTATTTTGCTCTGCATATTTTTGGTTTCTCATATAAGAGAAACCATACAATATTTAAGCTGAGTGTCTGACTTTATTCACTTAAAATTATGATCTCAAGGTGCATCCATTTTCCTACAAATGATTCAAGTTTATCCTTGTTTGTGGTAGAATAACATTCCATTGTGTTAATACCACATTTTATTTATCCATTCGTCTGTTGATAGGCATATAGGCTGTGTTCAAGGTAGGCTGTTCTGAGCTGTGCTGCTATGAATGTGGGTATGCTTGTAATATGATGTCTTTAACTCTTTTGGGAAGATACCTAGAAAAGGAAGAGCTGGGTCAAATGGAATTTCTAGTTTATTTGTTTGAGGAATCTCCACATGGATTTCCATAGTGGTTGTACTAGCTTGCACCAACAGTATAGAAGGAGTCTTTTTTCTCTGTAGCTTCCCCAACATTTGTTATTGTTTGATTTCTTGATGATGGCCGGTCTTGCTGGAGTAAGGTGGAATCTCAGTATTGCACTAACTTGCATTTTTCCACTGGCCAGTGATGTTGAACACTTTTCATGTATTAGCCATTTGTACTTCTTCTTTTGGGAAGTGTCTGTTCCTTTCAGTTGCCCATTTTGATTGGGACTTTTATTTTGGGGAGGTCTAATTTCTTGAGTTCTTTATATAATCTAGATAGTAGTCCTCTGTCCAAGGGAGAGCTGGCAAATTCCCCCACCCCAATTTATGTCATCTGCTCACTCTTTTTTGGTTATCTGTTTTGCTGTGCAGAAACTTTTTAATTTGATATGATCTCCTTTGTTGATTCTTGGTCCTATTTCTTGTGCCGTTGGCATTCAGTTTAGAAAGTTCTTGGTACACTTATGTGTCCAAGTGTTTTATTTATTTTATCTTCCAGCAAATTGTTTCTGTTTTAACTTTTAGATCTTTGATCTATTTTGATTTCAGTTTAAAACATGGTGAGAGATACAGGTCTGGATTCAATCTTCTGCATGTGGATAGCCAGTTTTTCTGGCACTATTTATTAAAGAGGATAGCTTTCCTCTACTGGATATTGTTTGCCTGTTTGTGAAAGATTAAATAGTTGAATGCACCTGAGGTTGTTTCTGCTTCCTTTATTTTGTTTTATTGCTCCACAGGTCTGCTTTTGTGCTGGTACCATGCTGTTTTTTTCACTGCAGCTTTATAATATAACTTGAAGTTTGGGATCGGGATACCATCTGCTTTGCTCTTGTTGCCCAGGATTGCTTTTGCTGTTCTGGTCTGCTTTGTGCTCCATATGAATTTTTGGATTGTTTTCTCTAACTTTGTGAGGAATGCTATCCGTATTTTGATTGATATTGCATTAAAACTGTATACTAGTTTTGAGAATATGGCCCTTTGGACAATATTGGTTCTGCCTATTCAGGAACAAGGGCTATCTTTCCATTTTCTGATGTCCCCTTTGATCTCCTTTTGCAGAGTGTATACTTTTCATTATACAGATCTTTCACATCTTTTGATAGGTTAATTTCTATGCATTTAATTTTTCTTGAAACTGTTGTGAGCGAGTTTTCCTAGTTTTTTTTTTTCTCAGTAGGTTCATTATTGTTGGGCAGAACGCTACTGATTTTTGTGTGTTGATTTTGTATTCTATTGCCTTGCTAATTTATTAGTCTTAAGTCTTATGGTTGAATTGCTTGTTCATTTATTTTTTTGTGGATTCTATGTAAACGATCTTATCATCTGTGAATAAGGACAGTTTGACATTTTTCTTTCCTATAAATATTCCTTTTGTTTCTTTTGCTTGATTTCTCTGGCTAAGGTTTTGAGTACTATATTCAACCTAAGTAGTGATAGTGGACATCCTTGACTTGTTCCTAATTTTAGAGGGAAAGCTGTCAGTTTTTCCGCAATTTATATGATTTAGCCATTGGTTTGTCATAAATGGCTTTGATCAGATCAAAGCCATTTGGTCTTTTTGTACCTGTCTGTTTGATACCTTTTCATGGACTCTAATTCTTTGCTAAAGTAGTGATTCATGTTCTAAATGGCTTTGATCAGATCAAAGCCATTTGGTCTTTTTGTACCTGTCTGTTTGATACCTTTTCATGGACTCTAATTCTTTGCTAAAGTAGTGATTCATGTTCTATATCATTTTGGTTAGTTCATCTAGCTCTTTATTAGTGTGTTCTGTAAACTCCCTGATCATTTTGTTAATTAAGCTCATCATTTAGTTATATCTTCTTTGACCTTGCCAGGAACATTGTTGATCTTCTTAAAAATTCTCTTCTGTTATCCTTTTGAATAATTCAGCTGTGTAGCTTTCGATTTCCTCCCTCCCCTTGCTCTGTGGATCAGCTTTGGAGAGAAGTTGGGAGTTTTTGGAGGCATTTTGTTGGCTTGTCTTCTCGTGTTTCTATTGTTGTCTTTGTTTTGTTTGTTTTGTGCTGAGGCTTATGCGTGCTTATGGTGGGTTTTGTTGCTGGTATGGAGGCTGCTTTAGTTAGTGTCTGCTTTCCAGTGGTGCGCTCTGGGTGTGCCTAACTATAGGCCTTTGTCTCTGTCGAATATAGACAGCTAAGTAAGGTAGAAATATTACAGGTGGCCACATAGGGACAGGCCCTTAAGAGTCAGTGTGGAAGATGAGAATACATTGTAACTGTGGAGGAGGCATATCCTTTGACAGCCAGACCCCAAGACAGAAGATAGGATGACTACACGCACATACTTCCCCTAGGGATGAACAGCAGTGCCTGATAGTCTAAATAGATGTCCATCACCTTGGGTTGGGGACCAGGAAGAGCCACTGACCCACCTCTTCCAGGAAAATCCTCTGTCCCATTCCATGTTGCTGCTACATGACGGGCTTCCGCATTTGATCCCCAGTTAATCAGTATTACCTAAGCAATTATACTCATAATTTTATTGGTTCACCGTAGGTTTTTTGCCCCACCTCACGCCCACCTTGTGATTTCCCATTGGATCGATGTTACCTAAGTGACTATGCTTCTCATCTTGTTAGCTCGTAGTTTTTTCCACCTTACACCTGCTTCACCTTGCAGTTTTGCTCTATAATATTCCCTTAAGCAGAGGGATCCTTGGCAACTCACTCAGGACCCTTCCATCTCTCTTGGGCAGAAGCTTTCTTTCCCCAATAAATAATTCTGCTCTTAACCTCCGTCGTTCCCAGAATTCATTCTTTGATTTTATAGAACAGGACCTCATACTGGACATCTAGCAGGTTAGGAGTTATTTCCCCTACATAACCGAGATCAGAGCACTCGTTAATTTGGGAGCGGAGGCTGCAGTGACTGGCCCAGCAGCCAGTTCTCAGAAATGGGCCTCCAGCTGTGCAACTGCTCCCCTCCATGTATGGCTGGGGTTAGTCATCAGGAACACGATACATGTCATGACTTGCCTGAGTGTAAACCACCAGGAAACAAAGAATCCTGGAGGTTCCTCTGAGGCTGAAGGAATAGGAACAGGCTAAAATGGGGGCCAGGCCACTGGCAGCCAAAAGAGAGGCCTCTCTGGGACCTCCTGGACCTCATCAGCAGAGCCAGAGGAAAAGGACACGCCTCTGACACGCGGACTGCAGCCTGGCTGAGCAACTGCTGCTGGCTGGAAGGAAGTTCTTTCAACTCCTTGAAAAAGAGAGGACCCTGAGCAGGCCACCAGGGCCCTCCACTGGCAGGCCCCAGACAGAAGACAGGGCAAGAGCAGCCAACCTCAAGAAGTCCTCAAATAATTAGGACAACCTTATATCCCCAGATTTAAAAATATTTACTATCTCCTCTTCTACAATCCCCATAGATTTATTTTTTCCTCAGTAAAACAAATGTTCTTGTTAAAAGAAGAAAAAGAAGAGTCCATGTGTAAGGACTTTAGGGAGGCCGAGTGTGAGAAATGAATGACAGACAGGACAAATTCTGTGGATTTGACAGAGAGGCAAAGGGGAAACGGGCCTGACTGCGCTGCTGTCTGGATGTAGAGCTGGGGATTTTGCTGGCGTCACACAGAATTCTAGGCTCTTGTGACTCTTCTATGTGAGAACCTTGAACAAATCTGTTTCCTTCATTTACAAATATATTATATGACACATGGGTACATACAATCCATGGATGATATTTTATGTATGCAAAAAAGTATGAGTTACATGAGATAATAAATGAAGTGCAGATATGATAAGTATGTAATAATAACAAATATATAGTATGTCATGTAAAAATAAATATAAGCATAAAATAATAATATAAATTGTGAGGATTAATATTAAACATCTTGAAATCACTATTCCATCTAGAAGCCAGACCATGGTCGGTACTGCTGAAGCTACCTTTGTCCTCTTACCCGCTCCCATCTTCCTGGCTCTTTAGAGAAGTATTGTTTTTGTCTTTTCCTCAATGTTTTAAAAATAGTTGTATCACATATGCATATTTCCCTAAGCACTGCACTTGCCTGTTTTTGAGTGTTGTAAAAATGGTACATTACATGGAGTCTCTTACAAATTGCTTATGCTCACTCAGCATTACGTTTTCTATATTTACCCGTGCTGTAACCATATGTAGCTCACCAACTTTACTACTGAGTAATAATTCCTTGTGTAAATACTTAACCATCTCTTCTCCTGAAAGTGAGCATGTGGCTGACTTTATGTTGTTTTCTATTATATGGACAAGCAGTTGCCATGAACATTTTTGCCTGTTTCCTGGGAAGTGGTTTTTTTTAAATCTGTGGATCACAGTCCATAAGTAATGCATGAAAATCAATTTAGAAGGCAGCTTGCATGCAGAGCACAAGCAGAGGACACAGAGGAGAGTGAGAGTGGAGACTGGTTTAAACCAAAACTGGCATCTTAATCACCAGAATGAGAAACAGAGGGAAAGAGCGCAGAGAGGAGATTCTATAAGGCTCCCTTGGATTTTTGGAAACATGGAGTTATTCCTTGGGCTGTGTATTGGGAATCCACAGCCAGGATGTCAGTGGAGACATCAAGGATCCGGTACTACTCTAAAAGAAAAATATCACAAATGTTACATGGCAAAACTGCAAACAATCTAGAATGTCAAAGTCCATGCTGCTGGGCCGGTTGGATCAAGAAGTTTTTGCCAAGAGAGTACATGTGCCACTTGAGTGTATTACACCCTGCTTTGAACTGAGGTAGACTGCTGAAATGCAAAGAAAAGAACGGAAGTCAGAAGAGGAAAGCACCTGTGGGTACAGCAAATGACTGTTTCAGGTAAATCGGTTACATACAACACATAGTCCAGCTTTTAAGCCAAATTGATATCTTTTTCATCTAGTTTGTTTCATTTAGTTTTCACTTAGTTTGGGCCCATCACAGTTATTGATATGATCAATATATTTCACTGCAACTCAGTCATGTTATTTCATGTTATAATTATGGTAACTCTTCTGTATTCACTGTATTTCTTTCTCTACATATTTTCCCATTGTGCTTTTGTTTTCAAATTTCTTTGGGTAATTTAGAAAGACTTTTGTGTTCGTTCCAGTGGATTAACTTTGTACTTAAATCTTTTTATTGCTTTTGGTTACTTTTTTCTCATTTAACCTTTTATTGTTTTATTTGTTGATTTCTAATAATATCCTTTTATTTTGACCTATTGTCTATATAATAATCAATGAACTTATTTTACTTTCCTCTTTTCCTGCTCTGGTTTATTTATTGCAGTTATTTCCACCTTCTCAAACAATGAAGATGTGTGTCTTAAGCACAGAGCCTCCCTCTTTTTCCTTTTAAGCCTAGATCGACATTTAAACATAGTGAGTGTCTGGCATCAACCTGTTTGCTTTTGGTTGGAGAATGTTCATCTTCTGGGATACTGCTCAAGCGGGACTTCTCAGTACACTACTTCTTGAGCTCTTGCATGCTTAAAGTTTATTTTATTTATTTATTTATTTATTTATTTATTTTTCTTCCAGTACCAGGAATTGAACTCACGACCTTGCGCTTGCCAGGCAGGTGCTTTACTGCTGAGCTAAATCCCCAGCCCCTTAAAGTTTTTTTTAAAGTAGCTATGTCTTGAAAGAGCAGGGCTGGGCCATTCTTAATTTATGCTATCTATCTGTGATATTTTAGTTTAGGCCTAATGAGGGAGATTTTTAAGGAGCTGCAAAGGAGGGTGGTACAGAGGTAAAGTCCTTGGCTGTCTTTGATTGGTTCTTACGCTATGCATCATAGTGACCAGCTACGCATCACAGTGACCAGCTGTTTCTAAGAGACAGAAGCAACCGAACTGCACCAGGAACTATCACCTGGGCAACTGAGGTCTACTGGCTGGGGCAGGGGCATCTTCTGCTACAACGTGATTTGAAGTTTGTAACCTCTGTCCTCTGGTCATGCCTGTAGCATACTGTATTTCATTTGTCCTTGTGGAACTTCACAGTGGGCCAAAGGCTGTATTTGGAGACTCAGGTGTAGGTGGCGCCCCTTGTCTCAGCCATCTGGACTTTAGTCCTGGAATGACCAGTTACTTCTGTACCCTTGGTCTGTGCGTCATACTTCTGGATACTTCTTTCAGATTTGCTCACGAGTTCCTTCTTCTGGGCTGAAATCACCATTTCACTTTAAGCACGATTTTCCCTTGCAGGGGAGGGAGTCCCAGTGCACTGAAGGAGTCCAGGTCCATCGCTTCCACTTGTGTTACGTTTCAGGAGGTGACGCTGCCGCCGGGGCAGACCCTGTCTTATGAATTCCTGTGCTGCTCACTCTTCCCATTTCAAGAGGCTGCTTCATTATGTTTTGCCTTTTTTTTCCTAAGCTGCTTCCTGCCTGTCCCACCCCACATGTTTGGACACCTTTTGTGCTTGCTAATGAACACTAGTACTTTAAAAGGCGTGAGAAGGGCCGTATACTCAGCGCTAGTTGTTTCAAAGGGAAGCTCCGACTGTCCGTTATTTATTTTTCCTTCTCACTCTGTTCCTTAACACAAAGCCATTCTGCCGTCTTGAGGCTCGTCACGCTGGGGTATTAGAAAGCAAAAGGAAGTGGTTGGAAAGTGTAGGAGGATTTAAAGTAGCAAGAAAGTCACAGTCAGTGGTGGACATTGAATATTTACAGGAATGGCACCTGGGACCCAAGGCAGCCCAGGGCAGGAACTGGGGCTGCAGCTAGAACGTGTGCTGTGTGGGACTGCCTCTCAGAAGCAGCAGCAAGACCCAGTTAATTTGCATGAGGATGTCTGATCTGGGAACAGTGAACGTCTTTTCAATACAGTACATTCGTTTGTTTCCCCAGTAAGCAGGGCTGGCGACAAGCACAGTGGCTCATCATCTATCTTTAACTTCTATTTTGTAGGGATTGTGCCTTTTGTTGTTCCAGCTTACAGGACAGGAACTTTTTAAACTCCTCGGAATCCTTGCCCTGGTCCTGGGAGCCTGTTCTTCGGATGCTGGCCATCTTGCTGCATGATATTTAGAAGCTGCCAGCTTTCTACCCAGCCACTCTAATCCTTCACAGTCCCAAGGCACGGTGAGAGGGATTATCCTCACTACGCTTGGGTCTGCAGCCCTTAACTGCCATTTTGATTCACTTTAGCTGACATAATTTGCTTTTGCAATAATTGCTCTTCTGTTCCTGTTTTAAACCTTTAGTTTCCCTTCACGGCAGGATGATGAGCACCCTTGTTTGGATGGAGAGGAGAGTGACGTGATTAGACCCAGTCCACAGGCTGAAAGTAGCACCTTGAAGGTGAGTCAGTCTCTCACAGTATTGCTGCAATTGTTGGGCTTGTCTCAGCACCCTGCACAGATTAGGGAAAGTCTTGAGTGCGTTAAGGTGGAGTGTCCTGGTTACACAACTCTGCTTTTCCCTAAAGGTAAATTGGCTAGTTATGTTTTAGGAATGAAAAAATGTTCTTCCTGTGGTATAGGGGAGAGAAGGGGAAAGATCCCTGGAAATACAAAACACTGTCATAGAAATGATCTCCCAAAGAAGCGTACAGAACAACTGAAAAGGCGGAATCAGAATCGGAAGCTGTCCAGGAAGCATTTCCACGCACACAGCCGCCAGCACAACATTTAATGGGTGCTCCCTGCCGTCTGTCAACTTGCATAATCTCCAGCCAGGCGAGGAGGTATTTTCATAGTACCCTGTGTGGAACGGGCTGCTGTAACTCCTTCTGCATGGCAGCTGCTTTGTTCAGGGTGTCACTTCAATCTTAGTTTAAGGCTGATAGACAAAGAGTTGGTGGTCTGTGCTGGGTGGTTTTCCAGGAAGGTTAGACACACTGGTCACTGAAAACACCAAAAAACATTTCATTTTCCAAAAGACAGGATCGTGATTGCCGGTGGTAGTTGTGCGTCCAGGTAGCGGAGACAGATTGTTTTTCAGTGAGTTCTTTTCCCTGGACGTATCAGGTCCCACAGCAACCTGCCCTCATGTTAATTTGGTGGTTCCGTGATTACTTCCTGCCAATAGGAGGCTACTTAAAAATCAAATCATTACAGTGACCACATCGACCCTTACGTTTCTGTTACATAAAACCATCCTATTTTTCTGCAGAGCCCAGCACTTTTGCAGGTATGTTTTCCCTGTCTTTGCTTCATTTACACTTTCACCATCCTGGGGAGAAAGGGACAGCCCCCCGTCTTGTACATGGAGTAAGTAAATGCATGAAGGAAAGTGACATAGAAAATGTGTCCTTACTCTGATTTTTAAATCAGAGTAACTTTTCCCAAAAATCACAAGGAAAGTGTTTTAAAATCTCTTAGCCCCTGCTTTAAAAAAATAAATGCCTCATTGGAAATTGAAACACACAAAGCCCATCTCTCAGATACAGGGTCGTTTAAAATTTCAGCATATTTTCCTCCATTCCTTTTTCTGCATGGACAATCCCTGCTTGCTGAAATATGTTTAGAAAGACATAGATATCGAGAGGAGAATGTATATTTAAGGTAAAATTTGAAAAATCTTGAAATTCACGCTACCAATTCCAAAGTCAGTCAAAATGCAATTTGATTACTTTGAAAGAGGATGTATATCCAACAGATATCTCATGAGTTCTATACCATGATATCATCAGAAAAATATGAGACATGAGGTAGTTTAACAGAGGGAGTTTAATATGGGAAAGTGGTCACTGCATCTGTCAACTTTGTGTCACTGTGACAAAATACCTGAGATAAGCCAACATAGGATGAAAACTTTATCTGGCTTATAGTTTCACACCGTGATCATCTGGCCTTGTTGCTTTGGGCCTCTGGCCACCATCATGGTGGGGCTATGTGGAGAAGAGTCCTGCTCACCTCATGGCATCTGGGAGGCAGAGGAGAGAATCAGGAAGGCACCATGAACAGGACCTCAATACTCCTTCAAGGGCAGCAGCCTGCCTAGCTCCCAAGAGGCCCTGTGTGTTAAAAGTTTCCACCACTTCCTAATAGCACCATGCTGGGAACTACGGCTTTAACATAGGAGTCTTGGAGGGAAACTTGAGACCCAAACTATAACAATTACGTAGGTGCTAGGAGCGGAAAGAGCAGAAGACACGGACAGTAGTGACTCCAGGAATCAGCAGCCACGTCTAGCCTGGGGAGCTAAAAGAAGAGACTATCATCGTGTGGAGGAGGAGCTGGACAGAGGGGTACAAAGTGAGTGTTCGGACCTCCAGGCTTGTGCAAACCTTTGGGGATGTACCCCAGGAACCTGAAGGTGTGTCTAGAGTTAAGAGTATAAGGCCCATGTGATTTCTTGAAAAATTTACCTGTAGACCTCAGTCCAGTCCACTGAGCAATAAAGTAGAAATCATCAAACAAACATGAATTTTGGAATATAATCATAAAACAATACATTGCAGAAGTCCAAAAGAATGATGAAGTAGTGAAAACAGGAAGGAATTAGTGAAGGCAAAAATAAATGCAGCATTACAACGCAGAGCGAAAACAACCCTGAGAAGAATTTGGAAGTATCTCCTTAAACTGATGATACACGTAAGCTACGACAAAGGAATTTAACTCCTACACAGACCCTAGAAAAACTCCCACAATACACCTGAAGAAGGATGTGAAGTTGACATAACACTGAAGTGATACATTTTGGAAAAATCTTAAGTGTGCATCAGTAAAAATGGGTAAATAATGGTGCAATTCTCCTATCATGTCATGCAGTTGTTCAACCCTTACGGGTCACTGTGTATAATGGAAAAGTTATCAGCGGGTACCCTGCCCAAAACAACTTGGCCCAGAAAATGTCATAGAGGAATTCTTACTCTCACAGAACTTACCAAAGTAACAGCAAACTCTTGTGAAAGTTGGCCGCATGTTTTGCATGAATTCTCACAATACCCCTCTGAAGTCCTGTCATCACTATATATTATCGTTGAGGACAATAGTGGCACCAAAGATTCCGTAACACCAGAAGAAAGTGCCACATCTGGGAGGAGAGTCCAGGCGGTCTGCCCCAAGGCCTGCGCTCAAGCAGAGTGCCGCCCTGCCTCTTGTCCATGCTGCAAAAAAAGGATGAAAACAAAAAACACAATGCTTTTAAAAATGTATTTCCTTGCTTTTCTGGAGTGTATTCTGTACTCACCTCTTTACCCAATGTAGTGTGGAAGGTGAGCTTTATGAGTCACTGCAAGCTGGAAACTGCATTATTTTACCCTTGTCCAAACTCATGTCAAAGTGTGGTTGAGTATAAAATTCAGGCTACAAATAGCTTTCCTCAGAAAGCTGAAGGCATCACTCGATGGCTTGCTGGTATTGTGAGTGAGCAGGAAAGTTATCTCTGTCTGAGTCTCATCTTTTTCAGAGTAGCATTTGTTTTGGGGATACAGTAGCACCTTCTTTTTCCTGATATATTCTGAAATTTCACATTATTTTGTGTAGCTGTGGATATTTCTAATAAAAATTACCTGAGTTGGGCACTTGGCTGGTTGATTTAATTAGGAAAGCAGAAATGTTGAGCACAACTTTAGAAATTTTTCTTTTTAAAAATGTAAGTGGTATTTCCCCCCATTAATTTTCTCTTCCTGAAACTTCCATTAATAACCCCATTAATTTTCTGCTTTTAAACGTCTTTATTCCCTGTTTCCCTAAATGCCTGGCTGCTAGTTCTGTACAATGACTAGGCAGATGTATCTGTGCATGTGTTGGGATCCTTGTTTGTATCTGTGCTTGTGTGTGTGTGTGTGTGTTTATACGCCAATGTGAGTGCATGCCCCAAGCATGTGTTTGTGTGTGACCCTCCTTGGTGACTATTCAGGGCTGCACTAATTCCCCTGTCTGCAGTCTTTTCACCCACACTGCCCGTGCCTCATACTCTGAGCTCGGTCCCTGGCCTGCGGTCAAACTCTGCCCTCAACTCCACCCTGTTCGGCTACCCTAGAGGACACAGCTTCTTACTCCTGGGAATGGAAACATGTTCACGGAGGATAGTGTTCAGAAACAGATGCATCTTATGGAAATCCAGGGTGGAATAAGGACTGACACTGCAGGTGATGTTTCCCAGGAGTGAGGAGGAAATGGCTGGTTCGGTACACACTCCAGGCATCGCTGCTTGCCTCTAGGAAAACAATAAAACTGCACCCTCTTCCTCTTTCTCTGGTACAAAACAGAACAAAATCAATTCCAGCTGGGGTGAAGACTCAGATGTGAAAAGGGAAAACCAAGACTGCTCAGATAAACAGATCACTGTTTAAAAGTGCACCTTTGAGGGGAAGGAGGCCTTCCAAAACGTCTCAGAATCCAGAAAGCTTGAAGGCGAAACATGTACATAACAGGAGATCCCGAACAGAGTGGCTCTGTGTCCTATGGCTGTGTGAACCGGCCACCCGTCTAATGCTGCTGACCGACCCTTTGTCATCCAAACTGCCCCAGAAATGTGACTCTGGGGCGCAGTCCAAGGGGAACGAAAGGGTGGGGGTCCCGAGAGGCACCATCATGAACCTGTCTGCACCTCGGAACACCTGGAGACGGCCCCTCCAGGCTTGGTGCTCTGTTTCACTTCCGGTCATCGAGGGACGTGGCCTTTCCTAGATTCAGTGTCTGTGTAGCCATTCACAACCTGGATCTATTTATTATCTGTACTCCAAAGACTCTGATGAGTAATCTGCTTGGGGGAAGTATCTTTGTGACCTAAAAAATAGTGTAAACAAATTGGAAGAAAAATGGCAAAATTGGCAAATATTTACGTTGAGAATAAAGTATGAACTAGAGAAAAACAGATCCAGCATTTCAATAGCCAGTTCACAAAAGAAAAATACTAACCACCAACAAACATATAGAAAGCTGTTTCAGTTTTCTAATGAGCAAAACTGTGCAAACTTTAAAAAACAGATACGCACTACCTCTCGATTTGCCAGGTTGCTACAGTAAGCCAGAGCTGTATTTTGAAAGGCCCCACTGTCAGCTCTCGGTGACTCTCCTCACGTGAAAATCTCTCAGCTTTTCTGGTTCCATTTTCCAGCTCCTACTTGTTACCAGGCCCTCCTGACCTCTGTGAGCTTTTTTCTTGCTTCTAAGCTGCAATGCGCCACACGGAAGAGGTCCCCCGAGTGGCCCCACTGGCCACGAGCTGGGAAGGGCGTGCAGCAGGTGACCTCCAGGATTCACGCATCTCTGCTCTGGTCTTCAGCTCAGCATGCAGAGCCAACCCCACACATGGTTCCTCAGCTCCGCACACCACACTCTGGCTGAGTTCTGTTGCTGCCACCACCTGGAGTTGCTCACATGTGCCTTTGTGTTTGGGACTTTACTATCGATCCTCTGAACAACACTGTGGGGTGTCCAGGAGACCTCCAGTCTGCAGACTGAGCTGGGCGGCTGGAGGGGGAAGCAGATGGAAGAGCGGAGGGAAGGAGTCAGAAACTTAAGAAATTTTGTGTGTGCAGGGAAGGTGCGCACACTTCTCTTTGAGTGTCTGTACATGCAAGGCAGAGGGTGAGGATTGTACGCTGCCATGGAGTCTACATAAGAGCAGGTCCCTCGGGCACACGGGGAGCCTCGGGCTGGGAGCTCTGGTCTTTGGACTGGTGGCTTACTCACAGCCTGGTAGTTCCCCGGAAGGAGGGCTTCCAGCGCACAGGGAGCCACAGGCTGGCTAGCTTCCTGCCTGGTGGCTCCCGGAGGGTGGGCCCCCAGCGCATGGGGAGCCATGCAGCTGCAAGCGCTGTTGCGCACCGGCCCTTAGGCCCGCCACCACTCAATTGAGATCTATCATGACACAGAGAAACAGTGACACAATTGGCCCACCATGCACCAACTTCAGTTGCCCACCCATGGATGTGTGTGAATCATTGAAACTTTGAACAACCCCTGGGAATACATGCCATACAATGGGCCACTCTTGCTCCTGCCATTGAGAACCAGAAAGGTCCAGAGCCAGCAGAGGAGCAGCTGCTGAACAAGGACTCAGAGAACATGAGAATGCAGACTAAGCCCAAGGAGTCAGAGGTCCAGTGGACTGGGGTCATGAGACCCGCTCGGAAGCTGTAAACCAGGAGGACCTTGCACAATACCTGCAGAGACTCCCTGGAAGCCATTCTTCCCCTGACAGTACAGGCTGTGGTAGAGCTCCGGAGAAGTCTGCAGCAGGATTCCTGCTGCCTGTGCTGACAGTTGGGGAGAGGACACTAACTGGTTGTGGGGTCCCGATGCGATGGGAGGCTGGAGAGAAAACGCTACAAAAAATGGTTTTCGCCCCAGACGACTCACTTGATTTTTGACAACCCTTAGGCTGTAACTACTTGTTAGATCCTCCTTGTGTATCTCTGTCTTCCTGAGAAACCACTTTGAAGATACCACCATGTATTACAGCAGTCATTGTTATTTTCCTAGAAGTCTATCCATAACTCTGTAATGTTTGTATTGTTCCTATCCTATTTCATAAATGGATTCATGTTTATTATTATGTGTTTCCTACAACAACCATTGAGAATTATTGAGTGATTATTCAATAGGTCACTCATGTATAGTTCTATTTATATTCTTTAGAAGCCATTTTGAAGATACCTAAGTATAGTACAACAACTATTGATAATCTCCTACCTCTTTTGTCTGTAACTCACTATCATTTGTCTATTTGTTTCCTGATAAACTATCTTGTAGGTAACAATATGTAAAACAATAACCATTGATAATTTCCTACCACTTTGTCTGTAATTTGGTAAGCCCCTCCTATTATTATGTTATCCTTCTTTTACTCTTTAAAATAAAAAAAAAAAAAAAAAAGAGCAGGTCATGGCCAAAGTGACAGGCACCCAGGGCTGCCCGCGTGAGTGAGCATCAAGACCCCACTGAAGAGAAAGAAAGGACAAAGTGAGGTCGAGCTCCTGCTGGTTGGTGGCCCCGAGGCCAAGTGCCTGCGGCCTTTGGCCCGAGTGCGCCATTTTCTTCTCTCTCTCTCTCTCCTTTGCTGAGTCTTTCTCTTCTCCTTGGATCTCCCCACCCTCATTTCTCCTTCTGGCTCAGATCAGCGAGCAGAGGCAGGGAGCAGTGGGGTCACCCCTGCGTGCATGTGTGGGGGCTTCAGGCCTGGTGAGCTCGAGCATCATGGGTCCATTTCTGGGAAAACTCCCCGGGGAGACCGCTGCGGTAAGCATGTGGGGTGCTGACGTGTGCCCTCAGTCTGCAGGCCACACAGGAGTCTCTGCCACCTGGCATTGGGTTTCCGCTTTTTTTTTCTTTATAGACTGGGCCTCTCATTCTCTGTAACCTGAGAGGAGGGTTTTGCTAGGCATATTTAATAGACTTGTTTTTCAAAGTTAGATCACAAAAGAAGCAGTGTATATTGCTATTGTACTTTAGGAGGACACAGACCCACCCAGACCGACATATTCAGAGTCACTGCAGAAAGGCCGCTCAAGAATCACAGAAGTGGCGTGCACCTGGGCTTCACCATGGTCAGGACACGGTTAAGTGGTGCTGGCCACTGAGGTCACCCAGTTCTTGGGTGGGCTGCAGCAAGGTGGGGTGTGTCAGTATAAGGGGACAGCCTCCATCCCATGCCACGATGCTTGAGGGCACCCTTCCTTTCCCCTACTTTTCTACTTGCACCCTCTTGAGAACAGGCCCCTCTCCTTCCTGCCTTCCTGTGCTAGGGCTGTCCTGACTGCACTTTCTCGCTCTGCCAAAAGACAACCCAGGGCATTTGGTGATTAAATAATTCAGGAGTAGCCTTGGCTGAAGCGTTCATCTCCTTCTGCTGCTCCTCTTAAAAGTCAGAGGCAGAAAGAAGAGAACAGTACAGGGAAAATGCTGACAAGTAATGTTACAGAGGTATCCATGAGCCTGAAATATTTCAAACCCATGCAAGGGATGAATCAGATAACAAATCAAGTTTAAAATGTTTATTTCTTGAAATATGGCCTCCGAGGTAGACCAGGCAAGTATTTCTCCAGTGTCCAGGAGCCAGTGTGGCGGTGATGGGGAGGGGACAGCACTAGGTGTTAAACTCAGAACCGTTCTCACTGGGCTACATCCCTAGAACAGTTTTACTTTATATCTTGAGACAGGGTCTCTCTAAGTCACCAAGTTACCCAGGCTTGGCTCAAACTTGCAGTCCTCTGGCCTCAGCCTCCCTAATAGGCGTGCACCACCATGCCGGGCACATTTTGCTTTTAGAATCAGCCAACCAAGAAGCAACAAAACCTGCTCTTTATTCCCTCATATCCTAAGCCAGGATTTTGCACTCTTCACAACGTCTGCCCTTTTATCTGTAGCAGGTGTGTGTTCAACATGAAACGCTCATGTGCTCGTCTTTCCAGCCGCTCTCTGGCTGTGCTGCTGGAGACTTAGAAAACTAGTCCAGGACTGGTCCCTTTGCTTTTGACTGCCTGTGGCTTTTGAATGCAGTCGATTTCAGGAATGTTATTTTTGTCCCCTGAAAGCAGAACTGACCCCTGCCGCACACACACCGAAGACAAGACTGGGAAGCAGCTTCCCTTCCTGGCCAGGATTCTTTGGCGCCTTCCTCTCTTAAGTGAGGAAGGATAAGTTCCTTCCTTCCTTGTTTCCAACTCTCTGCCTCCCAGAGTGGTGGACCAAAAGCTGGGGACCCACCTGCTGCCTCGCTGTTGCTCCTGGCAGGAGGAGACGCCCAAGGGGCTGGTGGGGTGGGGTGGCTGGAGCTCTAGGGCAGTGCAGCCTGGGGGAGCAGGTGAAAACTTCATGGCCTTGAAATCCTGTCATTTTCAGCAACATGGCTGAGCCTGGAGGACACTGCGCTAAGTGAGATACAGTGACCACAGAAACAAATCCTTCACGTTCTTACTAACACGCGGAAGCTCAGTGCGCTGGCCTCGTGAGTGCAGGGAACAGAACAGCGGCTCTGAGTGCCTGGGAAGGAAGGGAAAGACAGTGAGAACTGGCCCCCAGCTGCAGGGGCCCAGCTGGGCAGGAGGGGTCACTGCTAGTGTGCTGTGGTAAGTGAGGCAGCAGTGGTTAGCAAGCACACATTTCAAAACAGGGGAGAGGATTTTGAATGCTCTTAACACGATGATATGATAAATGTTTGAGGTGATAGGCCTGCTACTTTGATCTGATCAGTATACAGTAGACATTTAAATGTCACACTGCGCTCTACAAATATATACTATTACTACTGTGTTAGTGGAAAGGGATGAGGAGAAGAGGAAGAAGGAGGAAGGAGGAGCAGGAAGAAGAGGAAAGAAGAAAGAGGAGGGGGTGGCTGCTGGGAATGGTGGGCTAAAGCTGTAATGCCAGCTGCTCAGAAGGCTGAGGCAAGAGGGTTCCATGTTCAAGCCCAGCCTAGGCAGTTTAGTGAGACAGACCCTGTCTCAAAGTGTAAGAAAAGAGGGCTGGGATGTAGTTCAGTGGAACAGTGTTTGCCCCGTGTTTGAGAGAGAAAGACAAAGAAAGAGAGAGAGAAAGAAAGGAAGAAAGAAAGAAAGAAAGAAAGAAAGAAAGAAAGAAAGAAAGAAAGAAAGAAAGAAAGAAAGAAAGAAAGAAAGAAAGAAAGAAGAAAGAAAGAAGAAAGAAAGAGGAGAAAGGAAGAAGAAAGAAAGAAAGAAAAGAAAGATGGTGTGGTGGACTGACAACTGGTGGGCCACTTGTGACACCCAGCTGAACTGAATCATCACGTTTCTGGGTGTGGGAAGCCCACCTGAGGATTGTTGCCAGCAGCATGGAAAGGAGAACTGGAGAAAAAGAGGGAGCTGTTCTCCCACGGCTGTTGGTTTTCCTGGAGGAGCTTGTCATGCTGGCTTTCCTCAGACGAACATGGCTATTCTCATCACTGTAGGAGCTTGGGACCTTGTTGTTGCTGAGAATGGCTAGGATTCACTTTGGGGGAGCTCTGGTCCTTACTTTGAGCATTGCTTCCTGGCTCTGGAGGGGAAGATAGTGCACTGGTCATTCTCCTGGAGAAGCTTGTTGCACTGGCTTTCTTGATGGGAACTTGGGTGTTCTCATTGCTGGAGGAGCTTGGGACCTCATTGTCACTGAGGATGGCTGTGGTACCTATTGGGAGAGCGCTGGTCTTTACTTTGAGTGTTGCTTCCTGGCTCCAGTGCAGATCCCTCAGCCTGCTAGCACGGATCCTTTGTCCCAATGGCACAGACTTTCTGGCTTCTACCACCGAACTTTGGGCCTTCCCAGCGCAGATCTGTGAAACAGGCCTGCATGAGACACTGTTGTGGGCTGTAGGCCTCCAGTTGGATTCATGGGGGGCATTGTGATGGGCTCTAGGTCTTCAGCTGGACTCAGGCAGGACATTGCTGTGGGATTCAGGCCCTCAGCTGGATTCTTTTGGTCTTTAGTGTGTGGACAGATTTCCTGCACTCTTTTGTACTTGACTCTCTGGGTGACTACTGTAAAATAATCCTATAAATTATGTGTCCTGTATTAAATTTTTTTCTCTTGTGAGCCCTGACTACAACAGAAGTGAAATATACAAAAGAAAAATTCACAGTCTTGCCTCTGCCCCAGACACACTGACTCGGTAACTGGTGCCAGGTCCGGAGGAATGTGGCTCAGGAACGTACATTTTAAATGAGTTCCTCAAGGGTACAATTTGAAGCTTTAAAAACTGCCATTTTAACACAGATGTTTCAACTTGGAGTGCCTGCCACTTGAGAGGTAAAAAGTTTATCCAGGTATAAAAAATAAAATATTAGACCATTTTTCGTTTATTTTTAACATGTGATATTTCATTTAGGAAATTTACTAATGAAAATCCAGCTTCTTTAAATTTCTTCATAGCATTGTCAAAGCACAAGTCACATAGGATAAAATTCACTCTTGTTTGCTTGTTTTTGAGGCAGCGTCTTGCGATGCAGTTCAGGCTAGCCTTGCACTCATTATGTAGCCCAGGCTAGCTTTGAACTTTGGGCAGTCCTCCTACCTCAGGCTTCTCAGTGCTGGGATTAGAGGCATAAGCTAAATGTACCCATTTCGTGGAATTCAAATTCTTGGTAAATGTTTAGGCTTATGCAAACAAAGGCACAAGCCAGTTTGAGGTCACTTCCATCACCCCCAAAAGATATGCCAGTCTCTCCTTTACCATCAGTTTTTTTTCTCTACCTCAAGTCCCAGGCTATCCTTAAATTGCTTTTTGTTCCTATAGATTTTCCTTTTCTGGAAGTTTCATTTACTGTAAATAGAATCATTCAGTATGTGCTAGTTCACATGGGGTTTCTTTCATTTAGCATCATGTCAGGCTCACCCATGCTATAACATGAATTAATAGTTACTGCATTTTTCTTGCTGGATTGTATTCTATCATATTGACATAATATATCACATGTATCCACTCATGGACATTTGAGTTATTCGCAACTTGGTGCCATTAAGAGTAATGCTGGGGGTGGGGGTGAAGACAATATATGCATGTGCAAATATGCTGCTTGTAATATGCACTAATAAATAGAATACTGCTGCTAAGCACACCGGTACACAAGTTTCTCATGAATGGATGCTATCGTAGCTTTCGGTAAATTCTCAGTGAAATTTCTGTGTCACAGGGTAAGTTTTTAAGAAACAGCCAAAATATTTCTAAAGTGCCTGCACCACTCTGCATTCCAATCAGCAGGATGTGGGGATCGCAATGGTGTTGAGAATCTTTTAATGTACCTGTCACTGTGAAACGTCTTTTCAAGCCTGTCACCTACCTTTAAATTAGGTTTCCGCACTGAGTTGTAGTATGTTAGAGATACGTCCTCTGTCAGATGATTTGCGAGTATTTTCCTTCAGCCTGTGGTGTGTAATTTCATTTTCCTAGCAATGTTTCTTGAAGTGCACATGTTTTTAATCTTGAGTTCCCTCATTCATTTTTCTTCTATGGATTTTTTTTGGTACCTTACCTAAGAACTCTTCGCTTAACTCCAAGTCCTGATGATTTTCCCCCTTTGTTTTCTCCTGAAACTTTTAGTGTTTGTTCTTCCATTTCCTTGTTGTGTGTGGTGAAAGGAGAGCTCCAAATTTACTGTTTTGGCACATGGGTTTTCATGTATCCCAGCATCATTTGTGGAAAAGTATTCCTCTACAATGTGCAAAGGGAAAAGAAACATACCTTATTCATAACTGTGTGGATACAGACACGGCGTCGCTGCTGTGTTGCTGGTCGGGTAGTCAGGTGGCACGCCATGTGGTCACACGTGTACCCAAGGTGTCCTCTGTTGTGGCAGGGAAGGGTGGGGCAGCCACTCCTGCCTCTTGCTCGAGCTTGCCTTCAGCATATCACAATGAGGTGAGACCTGCATGTGCCCCGTAATGGGGAGCTGTGGATTCCCTCTTTAACCACAATAACCCTCACAAAGATAATGCTGCATTAAAAACTGGATGATGATCAGGGTGTCTAGGGTTGTCTTAGGTGAGGGTAAATTGCCAGTGTTTCTACCACCTCTGCATTTATGACCCAATCCACACCACCGGCCATCACAGCCTGCTTTCTTCTGCGGGAATTGCATGCTTCCTTTGTGTTCACACTACCAGCCTTCCTTGTGATAGGCTTTTCCGGTGCAGAGAGAAATAAAGACAGAATAAAATGCCTTTATTGCGGGCATGGAGAAGACCACAGTAGGAAGGGGTGGGGGGACGTGGAGCTTCTGAAGGCCTGGCTGGGAGAACAATGGTTATATAGTGCCAGGTTGGAGGTGGGGTTTAGGGGGTGGATGGCCTGATGTGGCAGACTGGGATTGGGTGGGAGCGTGGGAAAATATAACAGGACACTACACAAGGGGAGTAGGAAGTTGTAATTTGACTCAGAGGAAGGAGGGTGGGGCTTAGCACATGGTCTCTAGTGGCCAGCGCCACACTGGCTTGGGGCCATACTAGTCAGCGCCATGGCAATCGCCTCCAGTGGGCGGCGCTGCAGAGACTCTAAAGGAATTATAATGAAGGGAGAAACCTATCACCCTGAAGCAGAGGGGAAGAAGACTTCTCTAATTCTGAGAGGAAGCCACAGTGGACACCTGTGTCACAGCTGCTTGGCAGGCTGCGTTTGCGCAGAGGGGAAAGGATGGTGTGAACTGGCAGCTTTTTTTTTTTTTAAAGAGTAAAAGAAGGATAATATAGTAATGGGGGGGCTTACCAAATTACAGACAAAGTGGTAGGAGATTATCAATGGTTATTGTTTTACATATTGTTATCTACAAGATAATTTCTCAGGAAAACAGACAAATAATATTGAGTTACAGACAAAAGAGGTACGAGATTATCAATAGTTGTTGTACTCTACTTAGGTATCTTCAAAGTGGCTTCTAAAGAGTATAAATAGAACTATGCGTGAGTGACCTATTGAATAATCATTCAATAATTCTCAATAGTTGTTGTAGGAAACACATAATAATAAACATGGATCCATTTATGAAATAGGATAGGAACAATACAAACATTACAGAGTTATGGATAGACGTCTAGGAAAATAACAATGACTGCTGTAATACATGGTGGTATCTTCAAAGTGGTTTCTCAGGAAGACAGAGATACACAAGAAGGATCTAACAAGTAGTTACAGCCTAAGAGTTGTCAAAAATCAAGTGAGCCGTCTGGGGCGAAAGCCATTTTTTGTAGCGTTTTCTCTCCAGCCTCTCATCGCACTGGGACCCCACAGTCAGTTAGTGTCCTCTCCCCAACTGTCAGCACAGGCAGCAGGAATCCTGCTGCAGACTTCTCTGGAGCTCCACCGCAGCCTGTACTGTCAGGGGAAGAATGGCTTCCAGGGAGTCTCTGCAGGTACTGTGCAAGGTCCTCCTGGTTTACAGCTTCCGAGTGGCTCTTATGACCCCAGTCCACAGGACCTCTGACTCCTTGGGCTTAGTCTGCATTCTCCTCTTCTCTGAGTCCTTGTTTAGCAGTTGCTCCTCTGCTGACTTTGGACCTTTCTGTTTCTCAATGGCAGGAGCAAGAGTAACCCGTTGTATGGCATGCATTCCCAGGGGTTTCTCCATTTGAATGTTTCACACACGTCCCAGGGTGAGCATCTGCAGCCGGTGCATGGTGGGCCAATTGTGTCATTGTTTCTCTGTGTCTTGATAGTTCTCAATTGAGCGGCGGCGGCCGGCCTAAGGGCCACTGCATGGCTCCACATGCGCGGGGGCCCTCCCTCCGGGGGCCTACCAGGCAGAAAGCTAGCCAGCCAGAAGGCCGGCGCTCCCCACCTGTGGCTCCCAGGGCGCTGGAGGCCCTCCTTCAGGGGTCCCACCAGGCAGAAAGCTAGCCAGCCCCTGGCAGCTTTATTTCCAGGATTGTTTTCCAATTGATCCCAGGCCCTGCCTTCCTTAAGACCTGATGGCAGGTGTTTAAGCCTGTCTCTCAATTGCTCTCTGGGGCCTGACACTGGGGAATGTGGGCTCCAGCCAAGTGAGCTTGCCCCTGCGCTGCCCTCTCCCCTGTCACGAGAAGAACACTAAGCCTGCAGTGCACCCACGTGAGCGCCACTTCCCATTCCTAGGTACCCATGTGCACACACCCGTGATCACACCTGTCATGTACTCCCACCAGCTCCCTCCAGCTTCCACACACCTGGCCAGCTGTCACTCTCGAGGTGCTCAGTCTGAACCCACATGTGGCAGTGCTGACTCTCAAGTCACTTGGTGGCACAACTGCATTCACAGTGGGCAGCTCTAGTGGTCAGGAGCACATTCCAGCAGGACCAATGAAGTGTAAGGTCCCCCTGCTAATGGAAACTCAGATGACTTCTACAACAGCTCCAAAGCATTCATATAAAATGGTTACAATGCCTTAATATAATAGAAAATAATATAGAAAATACAAAATATAAAAAATAAACCTGCACTCACCTTTGAAAACCTTCATGGCTGGCGTGAGGAAGAGAAGGGGGTTACTGTAACTTTCACCACAGCTAACGGAATCATTGCCGGCTATTGGCTCAGTGGAACCTGTCTTTTCATACAATGTGAACAAAGAAGCTGCCCAACAGCACTTGCTTTTGCGTCCTTTGGAGGATTCTGTGGAAATGGGACCCTGCGTTCTTGTTGCACAGACTGACCACTTGCACTGGTACGGCCTTATTCGGGCGGTGCTTTCTACAAAATTTCACAGAGCTTCTCACATTTCACATGTCTCTCTAATCTGAAGACAGTGTGTCCTCTGCCTTTTTCTTCTCTTCCTCTGCAGATGAGATCTCCTCTATAATCTCTTGATGCTTGGATACAATCACCCATAATCCCACAGCAAGAGAGAGGGAGGGAGAGAGAGAGAGAGAAGAGAGACGATGCAAAAAGAGAAGCAGAAGAAAGGAGAGGAGAGGGGAGGAGAAAAGAGAGGAGAGAGAGAACCACTGCCTCAGCTGTGATCATGAGACGTTCAGCCTCATGTACTACTCATCCTGCATGGCATTGCTTGTTTATCAAGTTAAAATTTATTAGAAATGTTTGCTTGTCTTGTAAAACACTTAATAACTTACTTGCAATCCAAGGTTTTACTGTATCTCAAAGTTTTTCTAATTCTCAGACATTAATCCTTTGATATTTTAAAATTTCTTTTTATGTGAAAGGGTATTGTGTGGCTACTTAGACTCTGAACCCTAATCTTTCTGTAAAAGAAAGAAATAATTTATGGAAATATTTGAGGAGCTGTACCATTACCAAAGTTAGGCAGTACTTACTGTATTTATGGAGAATTATATAAATGAAAGGAAGGCATTGGTGGGGAATGTTTGGCCCCATAGACCTTTATGTTCAATGAGCTCCTGTCTGGTTTCCTAGTAAGCATCACACACAGGGAAATAAGACCGTCCAAACAGATGTACAGGACAAGATGAGGGGTTTTTCTTTTTCTACGGCAGGACATGACAGCGTGGTACACTGGGCAACTTCTGTCTGCAGGGATGTTCACGTGTCACTATTTAGGTAAATTAGTGTTTTCTGGGAGCAAGAGGTTCACAAGCCAATGTACAGGTGATGCTCAAGAGCATATGTTATTCCTGAAGCCAAAGGTATTTTGGGGGGCATTGCTGTTGCTTCATTTTTAGGCCAATGTCCATTCATTCACACACAGCACTTTTCACAGTTCTGTGTTCCAAGTAAATTTGGTGACACAGAGGGGAAGAGGTACAAAAATGACGGGGGGCTTGTAGTAACTTGTAGTATTTCGCTTGTAAGTGATACATACTTATCTTGATCTCCTGGGGTGAGTTGGGTATTTAGTGCCCATTCCCTTCACCTCCTTTATCCTTCTAGAAAACGATACCATAAGTGACAGCACAATAACAGTCTCTGCTAGCTAACAAAGTCTTTCCAACATGGTGCCAAGATGGCTTCTGGAAGCCCCCAACTTAGATCCTCCTCGCGGTTCAGGCCCTTCTGTTCTCACGCGTTTGGTTCTGCCTCTGTAAAGCCCTCTGGTGGGTGGTGCTTACGTCATCATGAGATCACCTCAGATAAAGCAGGTTTCCAGGGAGACTCATGGGTCAGCGTGGCCCTCTGAGCCTCTCCGTGAGTACAGGAGGGGAGTTGGGTGCATGACATTATTGGCCCTTTCCCTGAAGTCACAGAGAGAAAAGAGAGGGCTGTTCATCACAGACGAGAAAGCCACAAATGCCTCATGACTAGAGGGTTGATGAGAAACTCCACAACTTAGTAAAGTATGAGTTTTTACTCATTTTGGATGGGACAGTATATGTGCTCAAAACTACAAATGCCTCGTTGGTCTTTGGTCAGTAGATGTGAAAGAAAAGACAGATGCTTGATTGTATTTTAAAAAGTGTATCTTTCACTTTGTGCTATTATGACTACTGATAACTATTTTTTCTCCCCTCCTCCATTGGAAGACCTTTTTCGAGATGGAAGTGAGTACAGGTGCTTTGAGCGTGACACTGGACAGATGGACAAGAGTCCGCGGACGACTTAGTGGTCTCATGTCCAGGGGGTTATTTAACTTCTCTAAACCTGAGTTTTCCCCATAAGGGATGATAATGTACTCATCCATCTGTATTGTCCTGAAAATTAAAGAGAAAAATAAAGCCATTCATCCAACTCACCAGACCCGTAGGAAGCAGTTAAGATGTGGCTGTAGTAATCATTCCAATCAGCACTCAGGTGCTGTAGACGTGTTCACTTGCTGTCAGGTCCCTGGGTTGGCTGTCGACTTCCCCATGCCCTGCGGCCCCATTGCTTTGGCTGGAGAGACGCTTTGCTCTTGTGATGATGTCCCCTCTGTGACCCCCAGTTGGCTTGGCAACTGTGCTAGTCTACTTCCTGTTGTTAACAGTATGATACCACAGATTGGGTATACTATAAAGAAAAGAGAATTATTGTGGTTTGCAAATCTGGTGCAGAGCCAAGGAGCTGCGTCTGGTATGTAGTCTTCTTGCGGGCAGATTCCAAGGTGACATGAGCGAATTACACAGCGAGGGACAGGAAGCATACACTGTTTGCTCTGGTTCTCTCTCTCTTTTTATAAAGCTATTAGTATTCAACCCCAAACGCCCTATCTCTAAACATATGGCTGGACTAAGTCTCTACCCTCTCAGTGACTCACAGTGAGGGTTAAACTCCACTCTGGGTTTTAGAGGAGACAATGTTCAGATCACAGCCTCAACTGCACTTGCTTTAGCCTCTGCTGATATATATCCAGTCTATGAGTTTAGCTAGGTGGTGTCTGATGGACACAACTTCGGGCTGACAGACTCACTGTATTTCCAACACGTCATTTAAGAAGATACTTTTCTTATTGTGTTATAAAAAAATACTGAAAGATATGCTGAAAGAAGTATAAAGAAGGAAATAAAAATCACCACCCAGAGATTAATGTTGCTAGCAATTCACTAGTACAGCTCTCTCTCTACACATGGTTATAGGCTATATGGTGGATAGTCTATTAGGATCTAGGTCTTACGTGTCCCTGGAAGCTATATGTCAAAGGCTTGGTCCCCAAGGCAGCAGTATTCAGAGGCGGGCCCTTGGGGGGTGGCTGGACCATGAGGGCTCTGACCTCACGAATGGGTCAGTCCATTCAGGGATTTATAAGTGATGGACTACTGGGATGTAGGGAAACTCTAGCAGGTAGGGCCTAGTGGTGTAAATAGGTAGGGTGGCTGCCCTGAAGGGGATACACTGTTCTCTACCCTTCTTTTTTCTCTTATGTTTTTTTTACTTTCAGAGCAAATTTCCTTGGCCACATGCTTCCGTTGTGATTGACTGGCTCACCCCTGCGCCACGCCTTCATTTGTATGCACAAATTTCTTGAGAAAGGTGCTGTTTTCTAGGGTCTTGATGATTAAACAAGAAAAGAAAGTTAAGAAGGTCATAGAAAGGACTGCTTGAGAGCTCCAGTTCTGCTAAGAGAAGCTCTCCCGCCTCCTTCCTTGAAAATCTCAGAGAAAAACAGTCACAGCTCCTCAGGGCTCACGCCCACTCCTGGGAAACTGGTCTGTCCTGGCTGCAGGAACTGCTCAGGAACAGAACAGTGAGGGACAGAGAAAAGTGTTTTTTGAGAGAAAGACGAGGAATTCGTCTTTGACTGCACTCACCTCTCAGGAGGAAGAGGGCTGCTCACCAGGGCTCTGTCATGTTCGGTGATACAGGACAACTACCCGTGTGGGGCGGGACCGGCGGGTCTACCTGCGACCTTCTCATGCTTCTTCACTTGGGGACACCTGGGATTCTGGCTGTAAGAACTGAAGCAGCTACTCTTCTTGAGAAGTTCCTACTTTTATAAAGGTGGAGATAAAATACATTTCTTGGGCTCTCGCTGTCCATCTGATTTTTGCATTTGCTCCTCTGCCTTTGGGGCTCCACCTTTGGTTCCCAGGCTGCTTCTGGCCAGGGCAAAAAGGTTCCTCTGGGTGATTCACACCGGCATTTGGATTCCAAGCCTCATAATAAATGCTGGCTATTGCTTGCTTTGGTCTTGGGGAGCTATGGGATTGAGGTCTGGATTCCATGGCCAACACCTGTGTGTTCTTTGCACTTTCCCAAGGTGCAGTCCGATTAGGGGAGTTACCATGGAGATTACGCAAGCTCACAGGAAGTATTCCCTCACTTCTCTTCGCAATCTATGCTGTGATTGTGAAGGTGTGCCAAGAGAACAACCTTAACATTGCCATAAAGTTGCCAGGCTAGTTTTGCTTATCAGGAGATAAGCACGGCAGCAAGAAATGATCTTGTTTTGTGATAGGATTATACAAAATCAGGGCAGGACACTGGGCCCATCCATGGAGGGCTAGGCAAATGTTCTACGTGTAACATATTGTGCTGCTTTCTTGAAAATAAAATTAAAAAAAAAAACAACTATTGTTTCTGTTCTTCTCTAGTTATGGCCAAACTTTTTTTCTACTAATCTTAAAATTTAAGATTGATAAACTTAACAAAAACATATTTTCTCTTCAAGATTTTGCTTAGTCCTGCAGGAGTTATAGACAGAAAATGTGTCGAACCCTTAGCGACACGTTAATGGCAAATTCAGGACTAGGACCAAGCCCAGCTTTCAGAGCACCCTCGCATCAGGGAAGGTTCCCTGAGCAAACCATCTGCCACCGCAATGCGCAACTTTAGAAATGTGCTTTTTTCTCAACTTTCTGCTGAAGATTGATTTCTTACTGGAGACTTTGTGTGTGTGTGTGTGTGTGTGTGTGTGTGTGTGTGTGTGTTCCTGACTAGACAGGCAAGGACTCCTTCCTAAAGCCACAGTTTAGAACCCGATTGCCAGCCTGCAGCTGTCGGCCCCAATTTCCCATCCCTCGTAGATTTTCCTAAGGTCCCTGGCAGAGGCAGAGGCCAGCGGGGAGGAGCTGCGGGGTGCGTGCCTTGATTTCCCCAGCACGGGGCTCTTCCCGCTCCATCCGTTCTCCCTGTCAGTCCCTCAGCGACATTTAATGAGAATGAAACTTCATGATCAGAGCAGTGAAGGCAGGACGAGGCTACTCTGTGATTTTCTTTTAGCCCTGAGGTCAGAATTTCATCAGATAGGATAAAGATTTAGCTTTTGTTTCTCTATGGAACTGTGCCCAGGAGGGTCAAGCACGGTTTAAACATTAACCGACACGGAAAAGCAAACCCCAACGCGTCCTGCGGCCTCGGCCCACCCGCCTTATCTGTCAGTGGCTGGGTTTCCGCGGAGGAGGCGCGGGTGGGCGCGAACGCGTCGGGACGCGGCGGGCCGCACACCCGTCTCGGGTCCCGGGGCACCGGGCGAGGCGCCCGCGGAGGG